AGAGAGAGAGAGAGAGAGAGAGAGAGAGAGAGAGAGAGAGAGAGAGAGAGAGAGAGAAAGAGAGAGCAGGAAAGAAGAGCTGACAAAGATGATAACATGCAGAAGGGTTTGAATGAGAGCAAGAGGAATGTGATGATGTCTCTTGAACAGCCCACGCGATTCAATCAGGAATCATGAAATCTGACATGAAGAACGGCCAAAGGCTAGCATCATAAGGCAAGCGCAGTCATCACCGACGTGGATAGCCCTAAGTAATGCCGAAGTCGCCTGATGAGCACCGATTAATGATAATCTTCAGGGGCATCTGTGAGGGACATGGGACTTCTGATCCTCTTCCTTTCTCCATTTCCAACAGTGGGCATCCTCCACCCCCCTATCATCTCGGATTGGCCACCAAAACGGAACGGACAGGGATTCCATCACCCCCAGCATCTGGGAAAAGAAAGAGCTTTTTCTTTTCAGGTGGTTGGCGGAGAACTGTGGGGTACCAGAATCCCTTCTGAGCCGATTGCTACTCTTCTGTGGAGTCCAGCCCTATCCTCATTGGTCAGTCCCACCTATGCCATTGAGTTGGGTAGCTGATATTCTGAACAGTGCAATATATTTTGGGAGAAAAAGAAAACGTGTAAAGTCGCTCCAACATAGTTGGGGAAAAACATGTCCATGAAGAGGACGGAGGTTCGGTGCCATCTGAGAGCAACGCAGCGTGCTGTGGGATAGGAAGTTGCCTTGGAGCACCCACGGTAGACATTTACTGGCAAGTGATACAGCGTTGCAGTTTTCGCAAGTGAAGAGGAGAGGGACTCAGTTTGCGATGGGGTGCATCGGACGGCGAAAAGAAGAAAATAACTTTTAAGGTTTGATGGCCAAACACTGCCCTAACACTAGCTGAACCAAAAAGGTGCCCCTTTACAGAAGTTATGTGAGGGGAGGCAGGGGGAAGGGGGGATGGGAGGTGGAATGTGATTGGGCCTTATTGTAATTGATACATTGATTTAATAGTTACTTACTGTAACTACTTTTAATTGCATTGTTCTTAATGCATGGCATTGTGCAGGGTTCGGAGTCTGGGAGAATCTCGGATATCATAATCGTCCTTTCACAGTACAGTCTGAATGGGACCTGGCTTGGATTTCAGAACCTCACCGGGCAACTGCAGGTGAACCTCCTCCTCCTTCTTCTTCTTCTTTTCTTCTTTCTTTCTTTCTTTCTTTCTTTCTTTCTTTCTTTCTTTTCTTCTTCTCTGCTTCTTCTTCTTCTTCTTCTTCTTCTTCTTCTTCTTCTTCCTCCTCCTCCTCCTCCTCTTCTTGTGATGGTTGTATTGGCTGTTATTGTTATTGTTGTCAATGTTGTGTTAGTGGCTGTTGTTGTTCCTGTGGTGGTTGTTGGTATTGTTGTTTTTGTTGGGCTTCAGAACCTCAATGGACAACTGCAGTCGAACCTCCTCCTCCTTTCTTTCTTTTATCTTTTATTTTTGGAAACTAATGCAATGACCTCGGTTCAAATCCAGCGCAGAATCATGCATCCAGAGCCTGAGTCAAGGGTAGGCACGAGAAAGAGGACAATTCCCATCTATTTTTTTCCGACGTGGTGGTTAACAAATGGCATCCTTGGGACTTGGCCTACTGAAAGGAAAAGGTTGGCAGTGCCAGGGAAAAGAGGTGATTCCACACACCCTCTGGTTCTTACAAAACTCGGAGTGCGACAGAAATTGACATCGAAAAAAGAGGTGCGGATATACTGGTCGGTGAAGGATCTGAGCCCATGCGAAGCATTATGGACTCCCGGACGTGCCTTAGCATTTTTTTTATTTTTTTTTTACATTTTGCTCCAATCTGCCTTTTTTTTTTTTTTTTTTTTTTTTTGAATCTGAACTTCGTATACGGGAAACCTACTTAACGAGGTGATAAGAGCATCCCCGGTAAGTAGGCCCCGTCGTCGAAGGCTCCATCTATTGGTGGGGAGCTACACCTGCTGGAAATCGCGTCCAGCGTCCCTGTACAATGATGAAAATGTATGTGCTGGAAATCAGGTCCAGCGTCCGTGTGCAATAGTGTGAATATGTGTGCTGGAAAACGGGTCCAGCGTCCCTATCCACCTAGTCTATAGAGTCTCCACAAACTCGTCCCTATCCACCTAGTCTATAGAGTCTCCAAAACAAACTGAGGCATCAATCCAATCAAACGAAACCCTAACCATGATGTGATGTGTATTATAATGAAGTGATTTGCATCTGCTGGAAATCGGGTCCAGCGTCCCTATATCGTGTTGTGTAACTATGTCCAACAGTCAGAAACTTATCTATATATATGTCCTTATTCAGAGTCTAATCACGAAACCCTAAGCACGATATGATCTTTTATCAATCAAGCCTAAAAGCAAAGCTCTGTCAAGGATGAGAGATGTATGATCTGGACATCAAGTCCAGTATCCAATATGCATTATCGTGTGAAACTGTCAGGGGGCATCGATTACTTCCCTGCGCAGGGAAGGAATGACCACCTGCTACCTAATCCCTAAGCAGCCCACCGCCAACCAACAAGACGATCAGTCCCCCGTTGATGATTGGTATTGCAGGCTGGGAAACATCAATCACCCCCAGCTATCCTACTCCTATCCTCTGCCAAACCACAAGGAAGAACTCCGTATCGAGGTTGGAGGGAGGGAAAGCAGTAAACCGCTTCTGTATATCAACCCCATATCCCACCACATCCGCTTGCAGCATCGCTCCCATCACGCTGATGATAATCTCAGATGCTTGGATGCCGCTTCCTACCCCGCTGCTCCCTTGGTCGTCACCACCGCCGTCGTCGTCGTCGATGTTGTTATTGTTGTTATTGTTGTTGTTGTTGTTGTTGTTGTTGTTGTTGTTGTTGTTGTTGTCGTCGTCGTCACTATCGTTGAGAGGGGGGAAGATAGCAAACCCCTTTTCCGTACCAACTCCAATCTCCTCTTCGTCCACTTTGTGATAAGCCCAGATCCGTACTGCGCGGCTTCCCGTATCCCTGAGGAAAAATCCCACGGAAGCCCCGAAGTACGGACACGGACAGAAAGGGGTTTTTCTTTCTTTCTGCTTTTGTTTTCTTTTTGAAACAGCTTTTTCATTTTGTTTGGTTAATAACTCCTGCGCGGGCGAATAGCGGCCGCGGTATGAAAACCAAGAAACGGGGGCGGTTGGGACTTTTTGAAAGCTCCGATCTCTTCGCGCGTCTCGCATCCCCGTTTCTTGCTTTGCATCCCCGCGCCATCTTCCCTTCTTGCTGCACACATTTTCCCCATGCTGGACTCTTCGTCTTCCCCTCCGCCCAGCTCGATCCTATCCCCGCGAAGTGATTGGCCGCGTAGTTGGGATGCTCGGATCAATGTGGAGAGCGGGAAACCGCGCGCCACTTGAACGGACACCCCAATCACGTAGGACCATGCCATCCCGCGGGTCGAACCCTCTAACTCCCCACCTTCCTCCTGTCCTGCTCATCTACAACCTGCGCTGCCCGCACCTCGCGCTGACGACCCGCCGCCTCCCACGCTATAAATTCGCGCAACCCTCTCCTCTCTTCCTCTTTGATCTTGGCTGCAATGCTGCGCGAGCCATGCACGAGAGTCCGCGGCGCCGAACAGCCTTGACGAGCCCAAGGACGGGCGGAGTGACGACGTGGGGTGGACCCGCGGTAGTCTCGGGGCGAAGCAGTCAGAGGGACTGAGCAGTGGTGGGGATTGGACGCCGGCCGCGGCAAGGCCTTGTGGCTATGGTGGTCGGTGGTCTTGGGTGGTTTGAAGGCTGCGCCTGGGGGCGGCAGTTAATTGGAATTTTTGTGTACAAGAAGGACTCGCTTTTATCTCCATTGCTGCTTTGTCTATGCATGTCGTGTGTGTGAAGTCCCGAGTGATGGGAGCTGGTTGTGCGCAGGAGTGATGTCGAAGGTCTATGGATGATTAGATGTCCTGTCAAGGGTTGTTGATTGCTTGCATGCATGCGTGTATGTACTTGTCCGGGTGGGGACGGGGAAACTGAACTGGGGGACCGTCTGCCTAGGAGTACGAGTGTGTTAATCCCGTTGTTCCCCTCCCTTCCGCGGTCCTTCGCGCGTGCGCTCGTTCTCAGTGTAAGCTCTCTCTCTCTCTCTCCCGCCTTCCTCTTTGAGCTTCTCGTCCCCGTACCGGTGACGTCAACCGCCTGCGTCCGCGCGCGCAGTCGACGCCCCTGCAAGGAGAAGAGAGCTTCGACTTCGCCATCTTCCTCCGACGCACTAACCCTAAGAGAGAAGGTTGCATCGGGTGTTGTATGGAGTCGATGTTGGTTCGGATGACCCGGAACGCGGGATCTTGCCCGTGTTCATCGCATACCTCCGATCGTCTCATCTCGCTACCGACCTTCCCCATCACAGATGACAACAGCTTCCACTGCAATGCGGACGTACGGCGCGCGCTGAGGCGAACAGAGCAAGTGTGCTGGCGAGACCCGCCTCGGGCTTGTGATATAAGGGGGAACGGGTTTGTCTTGATTGAGCGTTTTGATTCCTCGACTCTAATATTACCTTATACGGGTTTGACTGTGCTACCTTGGTCGGCCGCTCACGCTGCGTGGCGGCCGCAGTTTGATTGTCGCTGGTGTCGCCAGGGGGACTCGTGTTCTTGGCGATGACTGGTCCTGGGTTACGAGGGAGGGACACGTTTACCCGATCTTTCCCGTAGTGCGGGGGCGCTGCCCGTGCAATTTCGAATTCGGACGCCGGCGAGTCCTCCCGCCGCTTCAACCTCTCGGGAACTTCCGCGCGGACTTTGTGAGTCTGACGCCGAGGAGTGTCTCTACAACAACAACCCGACGGTCCGGTCACTTCGTGAGGCCGATGACGAGGCCTGAAGGCTTCGAACCCCCTACCTATCCCCCTAACCCACGACGGTCGGAGTTTCTGTTTTCCGCCGCCATGGCCCCTTCCCCTTGATGCCTTTTCCCGTCCTGATACCCGGCGGCAATTCGTTTTTGCGGAAACCTTCCTGATTTTATCGTTCGGAGTGATCCGACCTCCACGGGACTTCGCGACGACAGTTCGACCCCGGGGAAAACCTGTGGCACGAAACGAGGGCCTCTCGTTCCGTCCGGGAGACTCAACCCTTACGGCCAAAAATCCTCGGCCACGCCCCTCCTAGAACTCTGATCGGCGACCCCGTACGGAAAGCCGCGAGGGGGCGTGATGTTGGTATCAGAGCTGATTCGTTTCGGCTCCGAGGTTTTCCTAGGACGATCACCCTGTTTTAAAGTTTTTCTTTTTGATCTTTTTATTAGATTTTTCGCTTTTTGAGTAGGCTGGCTCCCCGTCGACGGAGGCCCGCGAATAGCAATCTGAACCGAGCGAGAGGCCGGGCTCGGGGTCCGCCTCCCGCGATGGTTTAACCCGGGATTGGGGGTGGAAACGACGGCGACAACCACGCGGGGATGGCCGATCATCCCCTGTATTTTGTACCTCCTCCCTCCGAAGTTCCCATTTTTTCCGAAGATGACACCGACCCTCGCACCAGGCTTGCTCCGAGAACGAATTCCCGGAAGGTTAGCCGTAACCACTTTTGAGTGGTATGGATATAACCCCTTCACTAATTGGGCAGCCTTCCAGAGAAAGTTTCTCGATAGATTTGATCACATCGCACCAGGTCAATACCTCCGTTTAATAATGGAATACACGCAGCAGCCTCGAGAGACCTTGGTTAGATATGCTGAACGTTTTACGTACTTAGCCGAACGCTCCGGGGTGGACGAGAAAATGGTACAGACTGATTTCGTTAGAGGATTGTCAGATTCTCGCCTGCGGAAAAAGATCCACAAGAAATGCAACCCTATAGAACATACCTTGACTGAGCTAATTCAGTACGCCATTAAGTATGGAAAGGAAAATTACGATGTGGGCCTGGACTCAGAATCCGACGAAGACGACCCTTCGGGTGTTCAACGCAATAGCTACTTCGCTACGACACAAATGTTCGAAGATCGCTTCGGGTTGGGTCCGACAAAAAAAGGCTCGGATCGGAAAGCTTCGTCCTCTGCTCCGACCTCCCGTTGCTCCGGGCAAGCTCAAGGAGGCCGGGGCGAGGAAGACGCTTCCATGAAAGAGGTCGTGGCCCAACTAGTTACGGTAGTGGCCCCGTTGACGGAGTTTGTTCAAAGTC